GGCCCGGATCGAGAAGCTCGGCGGGGTGATCTACGACGGGTACCTCAACGGGCAGCTGTCGGTGGCACGTGCCATCGGGGACTGGCACATGAAGGGTGCAAAGGGGTCGAGCTGCCCGCTGAGCTCCGAGCCGGAGGTGGCGGAGGTGGTGCTCGGGGAGGACGACGAGTTCCTCATCATCGGCTGCGACGGCGTGTGGGACGTGATGAGCAGCCAGTATGCGGTCACCGTGGTTCGACGGGAGCTCATGGCGCACAACGACCCTGCCGCGTGCTCACGCTCGCTCGTGCGCGAGGCCCTACGACGCAACACGTGCGATAACCTCACTGTGGTAATCGTCTGTTTCTCGAGGGACCCGCCGCCGAGGATAGAGGTGCCCAACAGGTCGCACAAGCGCCGGAGCATATCGGCTGAGGGGCTTGACCTGCTCAAGGGCGTCCTGGCCGATGCATGAATATCCTTTAATTCTGTGCAATTTGCTTTCTTGTTACTACTGTTGTTGTGTAGTCAGTAGTGTAGTGGGAGCTCAGCTCGTTGGTATTGCAATTCAGTTTTCTTTTATCTTGCATTTTTTATTGGTAAATTAAATAAGGTAAAAATTCTATTGTAGCACTTGATTTTTTGTTGGTGTCTCACAATACGTCGAGGTGCCAAGTATATATGTTACCAAAAAATTAATTATTATTGAGAAATTTTGCCCGAAAACTTGCTTCTGTCACAGTCCGAAACCTCTCGTCACCGTTCATATTGTGCAATCATCTCATCTGTGTCTGTTCAGGTCGTCTAGCCATGTCCGACGCTCAAAAATTTTGGTCGTTTTCTCCCGCAAAAGTGCGACCAGCCTTCATGTCTGGTGGCCACGGAGTCGCTATTGACCTTAAGCGTTTGCCACGTCCGTCTCCCACCGTGTCCGTCTGCCCACGTTCAGTCCATCGTGATAGAAACAATCCGTCCGTCGCAGCAACAATCCGCCAGAATCGCCGTCTTCTCCGTTAAAACCACGACCAATGGCTCGTCGTTCGTCCTAGCCCGACCACAAAAGTATTTTATTTTAATTTTACCAGACCATGATTACATGTTTTTAGTAGTTATTGTATTCATTATGTATTTATTACTAAAAGCACAAGATGAGTAATAAAATACTAAATGAACTTATATAATAACAAAATTAATATTACAATTTGTACAATTGTTATTTGAGTTTGTAAAATCGAAAGTTTTAGAAATTAACTACATCTAAACTGAATGGAAAGTTGTCTCAAAATGTGGATATTAACCACATCTACACTAGACTAATAGTAATGTTCTCCTACCCACGGTGGACACATGTTAATATGTCAACCGTTTATGTGGCATGCACACATTGGTGATGTTAGTATGTTCAAAAAAATACATCACAAATGTGTACATGCCACATAAGCGGTGAGCATATTAACATGTGCCCACCGTGGGTAGGGGAGCATTACTCAATAAACTAAACCTATATTAAACACAAACGTGTAAATGTTAACTACAACTTATAAACAATTTATGTACTTGGCATATTTGATTTAAAAACATGAAGTAAAACATAAAGTAAACAACAACTGAAATATCTTGCCATTAAACAAAAATTAATTGTCATAATCAGAATAGATAATATCAAAAACCAACAATAATATGTGTTCCTGTATACAAAAAAATCAAATAAAAAATAAAAAACAATAGGAAATTCAACCAAACACGAATAAAAATACATAGTCTTTCAATTCCTTTCACTTTCGATGGGGTCCTAACCTGTAAGCGCGCATCTGTTGTGCTCGATTCTTGAGGCATTTTTGTGCTTTTTTGTCATCCTTTCGAAACACATGAAGCCTCACCCACAAGAGCACAAGATGAGTAATAAAATTCTAATAGAAGTTATATAATTATAAATTTGGATCCCAATTATGGCGGAGCTCCACTCAGTCTAACCCCGATTGAGCTGCTCTACCCTCCTTGCATTCATGAGCAGAGCTGTCGGGGAGGCCGGGGGAGACGAGGGGTGGAAGTACATAGAGGTATACATAACACTCATAGAATGTAAGTGTTATGACCAGCGAAACATGCATTAGCAATCCATTTGCACCCTCATATTTACTGGGTTCCACAATGACAAATAATATGCATAAGCATAACCAAGGCAAAAATTACATAGTCCAAAAAATCCTACCACAAGAATAATAGCACACATTTCTAGTATCACAGTCCTTCAGAAGCCAGAGTTCTCAGGTTACAGATTACCCAACCGTATCAAAATAATCAGTTACAAAATATAATTGCACACTTACTCAGAGCTCGAATTTCCCCATTTCTTGACAGAAAATAGTGACACCAAACGAGTATCTTTCTTCCATTCATCGAGCAGACGATCACCTGCTTCTCGTGTGATTTCTTAACATTCCCCTTCTCACAGAAGGCTCCATACTTCCAAAGTGAGAGCCCCAAACTCGGTAGTCAAATCGCTACCGACACTCGATTAATCTGATTATCGAAACATTTTTTTTTCAAGTGCCACCGTTTTGAACGATGTTGCTATACACATTGCTATTTTTACCTCTTAGCAGGTCAGCAAATCAAAAAATTCCTATCAAGACTTTGGAAAAAACGTGTCCCAAAAAATTTAACCACAAACAAAAAACTCAAAAAACAAGTGGAAAACTTTTCATTCAATTCCTAGCATTTACTTGCGCAACTTAATTTGCAGGTTGGTCATGCCAACATTCACCTTCTCAACGCTGGATTCGCTCTTTACTTCATCATGTGTCTGATTATCGATATTGAGCCATGGGTGCTGCAGGCATTGCTGGGCGGTCGGCCGCTTTTCGGGCTCGAAATTTAGTATGGGACAAAGAAAAGCCGCAAACTCACGAGCATCGGCATCAGAAAATTTGTACTTATCAACAAGAAGTCGATCGACTGACCCGTATTTCAGCCTCCGAATCCTCTTCAAGTCACCATATTTATCAAAGTAATCTTTGGATCGAGCCCCGCCTATGGCGATCTTTTGTTCAATGAAATTGATATCCAGTCAGCAACTTGTATCTACTTCAAGCATTATAATATCTGTGTGCATTTGTGTATATATATGAGTTGTAAAGTGTTCACCTTTCGTGGCATCTTTCCAAGGAGCTCCATCATCAAAGCTAGGTGATCCTGCAAAAAAAGCATCTCTCTCACATATCACAAATCAACCGATATCACTTTTAGGCAAAATAGTTTCATAAATCTGAAAGAAGAAAGTGAGTATATGCTAAGCAACTTTTACATTTTGCTACTTTAAATTCAAAACGTTAAACTATCATACGTGAGCTCCTACAGCTTAAAACACACTAACTAACAATGATATTATCTAAATCAGTTAAATAAAGCGAAACTAACTAATGAAATCAGAAATACTCTCTTATTAATCTTGACTTGCTCCAACTTTATAGAGCATTTTACTGGAGCCAGAACAGATGCAGATATATAAAGAGACATACTCACACAGACTGCTGTAAAATAACAAATTATTCTATCAAGTAAATGATTTGAAGAAAAGATGGGTCGAATGGAGATCGATGAATCTTTTATTTTTCTTCATGCTATGCATAAACATAAAATCAAGGGCATATATCACCTCATCCTCACTGAAGCCTTGTCCACTCTTCGGAGTAAACATCATCTCACCAGTTGCAAGTTCAAAAGCCGTGCAAGCAAAGGACCACATATCAGCAGGAAAGGAATAACCGGAATTAAGGATGACTTCTGGAGCCCTGTATTGCCTCGTTTGAATTTCTTCAGCAATTGGCCGATCTGCCCAACAAGCATTCCCAAAATCTACAACCTTACATTTCAAATCAATCCCATCCAAACACCGAGAAGGCTTTGGAACCACACCTACCCCTCCCATAGAAGCCCGCCTTTCTGATATCCTCGCAACTGCCCTTTTCGCCCTTTGTTTTAGCTTTTTCTCGATGCTATTCGTTGTAATTCCACCATTCGGGTTTCCCTCGGGCCTTTTTAGCACGGGGTTCATCCCGGACCTAATCGGGTCCTTTGAAGGATTAATTGTGGAACATAGAAGAATGTTTTCAGGTTTTAGATCGGTGTGTATAATTCTTAATTTTCCGTGCAAGTAATCCAGAGCAGTCAAAATGCATTTGCATATCTCCCGAACTTTGTTCAATTCGAGACCTTTATACCGGTTATACTTGATGAGACGGAGTAAACTGTCACCAAGGAATTCCAGGACCATGCACAAATGCTGCCCATTTGGGCCTGAATGCTTAAAGTGCTCGACTAATTGCACAACAGATTTACTGTTTGAGGGATCACCAGCAGCAATAGCGGAAAGGATCTCAATTTCATGA